GTCTATAATATTTTTGAATTTCGATAAAAATCACAAACCTGAATCATTGAGCTGAAATTTTGGCAAAATCGTTTTGTCAAGTTTCATGATGATTTCAAGCTGTGAGGCTTATTGAAATCTCTCGTTGTATCTCACTAAACTTGCATCGTAACTGCATACCCTTCCTCAATGGCTCCCCTCTTCCTGATTCTAACCCCAGCCTGGCACTCACCTTTCGGGGAACAACTCACCAGTCAACAAATATCAACTGAAAGACCAGCATCCTTGGCACCGGGCCTCATTTAGTCCACTATGCATCCAATCAAGCACTGGCATTCCAAAGCTACCCTCCTTGGTGACATACAGTCATTTTGAACATGTCGGAGAAGGGGAAAGAGATGTCACCATTCTCTGTCAGGGACATGGAGTTCCTGATGAATAGGTGATCCTGAGAAGTGTCATCCTTTTCCTGCATGACCAGCAATGGAGGCCAAGGCACCAGACTTTGGCAACTGATCCCACGTCGCCAGCCAGGTCAGTGTGGTCTCTGCGATGTGGAGGAACAGACAACAATGCCATCAGATGTTCGAAAGTTGGCAAGTACATACGCTGGTTTCCATATCAAGAATTCTCAGTGGCTAGTTTGCTCACAGCGAGGGGACTGGATGGGAAACTTCATGTTAATGAAGTGAGATGTGCAGTTGATAAGGTTTGTTAGCAAGCAATAATCTTCCTCAATAGGCAACTTGCCATTCCCTCATGAGAATCTTGCTTTTGAAGTTAAACGATGCAGTGAGTTGTTCTGAACATTGAGAGAGATGTTTAACTCAACTTGATTATTTCATCAATACAGATCTTTTCAGCGATTTGACCAAAATGTGTTAACGGTGATACGGAGCCATTTTTTTTAACTAATTTACTTGCATGCTCAATAAAGCGTCTACTCCATAAGATAATCTAGGCACAAATGTAAAGTAGATCCAATTTGTATGATATTTCAACAACACTCTGAATTCTTAATTCAATAAAGAAAAATTATCCGTTTTTTAAAACACCAGGGTCCATTCTGATATGCGGTTTTAATTGATGTTCAAAATTAATTATTCTTACTGAGCAAACATCAATCACGTCTGTCAACTTGTCAGTTGGAAAACTTCACTTATCATTGGGGTTTAGAGCATGAAATGGATTGTGTCCATATTCACATACATATTCCTGCATACAGCTAGATGAATTGATTTATCTAGACTTGGAAATATCAGATTTTATTATTGGATTTCTTTGTTGTTGAATACCTTTGAGACATCTCATTGCTGAGTATCTTAGAGATACCGATACAAAAAAACAGATATTTTCATATATATTTGCTGGTTTAAAATAAAAGCCATAGGTAATTACAGAAATGCAAATTACTGCAAGAAACAAATCAACAATTTATATTATCATGTCCTCTGTCTTCTTAGTCTGCACAATCTTATTAACTTCCTACCAATATTTAACTAGCTCCTTGACCTTAGAACTTCACGTGGCCTCTTTACTCCCGTCATGTCTTTCACAGATGAGGTCATCCCTGACCACTTCTTACTATTGCTGTCTATTCAGATTCCACCCTAACATAAACATTTGTCCAAGGAACCGATAGGAAGACTTTAAAATTCCAAACTGTTTACCCATTGGCTCTCCACTCTCCACATCATTTCTGTAGCTACTGATCTGCTTGATCAAACTCTCACCTTCACTTTTGATTCCTTTGACCATGCTAAAGCCCTTCCTCACCTTGGTGATTTTCCCTGGTTCACTCATCACTGTTCCCGTAAGTTCAAATGTGTAGCCTTGAACTTTTATGGTAACCAACTGGTTTAACCATTCATTACCAGGTCTTGCTGGACTACGTAAAACAAAGTCGGGCTTCCTCAACTGTTGACTGTTGAAGAATAATTTCGGGTTCCCCTTTTCTAGTACAAAGTGTCTTTAAAAATTCTGTGACACAGTAAGTATGAGGTCTTCACTGTCACTAAAATTCAGTACATTCAGTTGACTGGATCTACTGACTCCATGCCCTTCACTTGCCACCAAGCCAAGCCGTCCAGACTGTCTCTTTCCTTTTGATGAACCAGACTGTCTGTCTAGTTTTTCTCCTATCACGTTCATGTCCTGTCCAAACTCATCTTAATTCTTATTGCAACAAATTGCTCATCACTCAACTTATTTTCTGAGTCCCCATGTTGGCTGATAGTGTATTATTAACAGTAGCCAGAATGCCGTCTAGCTGTCATTTAGATGTTATTGTCCCTTGGCAGTGTCATTTTAAAATATGTCAAAAGTTCAGACGAAAGCCTTCAGTGCCAATGTCTGTCATCATCACCACCTTTAACCGCTCTGTGCCTTCTGATTTGTCAGACTGATTGTATGGCATCAGTTACTGGGTGAGCAGAAATTCTTTTGCAATTTTGAACAGTCAAAGATATTGTCTTTGCTTACCATTTTGCACTTTGCTCCCTAGCCGCTAACTGTTCTTTCCGGATATTGCCTAATACTAAGACAGTAAGACCATAAGACAAAGAAGCATGAAAGTCATACAGCCCGTCTAGTCTGCCTTGCTATTCAATGAGATCATCAATGATCTTCTAATCCTCGACTCTGCTTTCGTGCCTTTTCCCCATATCCCTTGATTTCC